ATCACGGCTATCCATTGCACGTGTTAGATTTTAGCACTGTCCGACAAGGATCTGTCATATGAGGAGGAGCCGGTGGCAATTTTAGACCGGCAGGTTTGACAGTTGAGGTCGAAGAGTTTTCCTTCAGTGCGTGTTCAGTGGAGAGGTCAGCCTCCTGAGGCATCGACCTAGGAGTCCGAGTCTGATATGCGGAGCCGTTATCCTCATCTATTTCCCGACTTAGGTACTTCCTTCTTTTGTCCGTTCGAGGACGAACGGTTGTTTTAGAGGTGGAGAATGTGACGATCCAAAGGGTCATCACCGCAAATTCTTCCTTTTCCCGTGCTTCCGAGGTCCTGAAAACCTCGTGTTTAGTTGCCTCAATTTGCGTGCGCAGTCCGGCACGAAGACGGAAAGTTTTTATGTTGAATAATACGAACTATGTGTTAAAATTGATAAATTTTGATGTTAATATTGATATAGTTGACTTCGGTCAACATTTTGGATAAACGGGCACGGACCCGTGATGTGATGATCCCGGAGGGTCTGTAGGAAAATATGGGACTCGGGCGTATTTCCGGAATCGAAATCCGAGGTCCCGAGCCCAAGTTGTGAATTTTTAAAAGAAATTATTTTCTGTAATTAATTTAAAAAATTAGAAAGGAAAATGAGTTAGAAATCTGTGATATCAGGCTCGTATTTTGGTTCCGACGCCCGGTACAGGTCTTAATATGTGTTAAGCACTATCTGTAAAGTTTGATTAAAAACGGACATCGTTTGACGTGTTTCGGACTAAAATAAGGAATTTGAAGTTTCATGAAAATTGAAAGAAGAATTATGTGTTTTAAGGATTGATTCATAGATTTTGATGTTATTTTGGTGATTTGATCGCACGAGTAAGTCCGTAGGATATTTTTTAGGTTGTGCGTATGTTTGGTTTGGAGCCCCGAGGGCTCGGGTGAGTTTTGGATAGGTGTCGAGTGCATTTTTGCATGTTGAATAATGCTTTAGGGGTATCAGACCTGCAGGCTTCACAATTGCGAAGACTGGTTCACAAATGCGAACAGGGTCTTGGACTGCTCACTTCGCAAATTCGAAGAAACACCTCGCAAATGTGATGCCCTCCTTTGAGTTCAGTATTCGCAAATGCGAAGACTTCTTCGCAAATGCGAATTCCCCCTTGCCAGCTCTGATTCGCAAATGCGAACTCCCCTTCGCGAATGCGAAGTCCGCAATTCCCTTCATGGTTCGCAAATGCGAACTTGTGTCTCGCAAAACCCAAACCTGCTGGGTTCGTAATTGCGAACCCAGTCTTGCAAATGCGAGATCTGCACCTGTGCATTTCTATACTTAGCCGAAATTAAAACCATTTTCTTCATTCTTTCAAAACAAAAACTCCATTGGCCATTTTTCACGAGCCCTCTCATCTCCAAATCATTTGTAAGTCAACTTTTACTTAATTTCTTCAATTGTTAACATCAGTAAGCATGTTTTCTTCTTAAAATCAAGGTTTTCCATGAGTGAAAATGGGGATTTGGGTAGAATTTAGGTTTTTCACCAAATTGGGTGTTTGGACCTCAATTTGAGATCCGATTTCAAAACAAATCATAGATATGAACTCGTGGGGGAATGGGTAACCGGGTTTTGGTTTGGACTTCGGGTTTTGACCACGTGGGCCTGGGGGAATTTTGTGAATCTTTGGGCAAAAACTTTGAAAAATTCATTCTTATGCATTCAAATTGATTTAACTAGCATTTGTTAATACATTTGAGTAATTTGTGCCTAGATATCGTTGTTTCGGAGTTTGATTCTAGGGAAAAAGCGGTATTAGAGGTTTGAATTGCTATTATCGGATTGAGGTAAGTGTTTGATCTAACTTTGGCTTGAGGGAATAGGTTTAGGATATTACTTGCTACGTGCTAAGTGTGGAGTCGGTATATAGGCATGGTGATGGTTATCTATGCACCTGAGTCTAGCATGACCGTGGGTCTTAATTGCTTTTATTCAAATAATATGATGCGGTTTCTTGTCTGAATTGCTTTAGTTCACATGTTATGAAAGGTTGGGGATAAATAGTGAAATGTTTAATTTGGGAGCGTTGGCACGACTTGGATCTTGTTGACGGATAAGTGTTAAAGGTGAAAATACTGTGGTTATTCTCTTGCCGGGATTTAAGTATATATTGAATTCTCCCTTTTCGGGATGTTTATTACTGGTTGTTTATTTCCCTCACCCGGACTGGTTGTGACCGTTGATTTGGTGAGGAAGAGAGATTATGCACGAAGGGTCATTCCGTGCCATGTTTTGATATTTGTGCACGAAGGGTCATTCCGCGCCATGTTTTGAATAATTATGCACGAAGGTTCATTTCGTGCCTTGATATGAGAGTATGTGAGGAAAAGCACGAAGGTTGATGCCGTGCATTTTACTTGACTATTTTGGTGAGATCGAGAGTAAAAGCACTTGGTGCCGTACAGTTGTTGATTTTACCGGATCTCCTTAATTGATGTTGTTGTTTCGTTTCGTTCTATTATTCGTTAACTCTATATCTGAACTGTTATACCCCCATAGTATGCTCCCTTCCTCCTTAGCTACTTAAATTCAGTATATTCCTGCTATTGCGTATATATGACCTGCACAGGTTTATTTGAGGTAGGTCCTGTCTAGCCTCGTCACTACCTCGCAAGGGTTAGGCCAGACACTTACCTGCACATGGGGTCGGTTGTTCTGATGCTACATTTCTGTGCCTTTTTGTGCACAGATCAGGGAGCAGCTTACAGACCACCGCAGCAGTAGATTTGGGAGCGGACCTTCAGTCGAGAGACTTCGAGGTAGCCTTGCCGCCGTCCGCGTGCATGGAGTTTCTTCTATGTTATTTCTGTTTGTTTCCTTTGTACCGAGACAGACATTTTGTGTACTTCTTTCAGACTTTTGTTGTAGTTATTCATAGTAGTCCGTGAGCAGTGACACCAGATACTGGGTAGAAGTATATGTTTGGGATTTTGATATTTCTGGTTTCCGATATTTATGCACTTAAAGGTATTTTTCGTTAAGTATTTATTCCAGTTTATTATATTGCTTCAAATAAAAATTTGTGAAATGTTTAAATGTTTGGCTTGCGTAGCTTCAGTAGGCGCCATCACGACTCCCGATGGTGGGAAATCCGGGTCGTGACACTAAGGTTAAGGGAGAAGCAGTCTCATCCACTGCACCACATCCTTGGATGGTATTCCAACTAAATCTCTCACTGTTCACTTGTTAATTATTAGATTACCCTTTGGATTTTAAAGATATTGCACCTCCATTTAGTTCCTTAGAAGCATTAGAATCATCCTCAGAGCTACGTACAACAACTTGAGCTCAGTCCATTTTGAATAGCTGCATTATTAGTTTCTTGTTAATAGCTCCTTGAAGGAGTTGGTTATTAACAACGTAACATCATGATCTCAATGTCGTGTCTCGGATTATATTGTTAGTAAAACACATGCCATAATTTCCACAAAAGATATGCAAACTATGGAAGTAAAACATCAATTAGTGCAAAACTATAGCTTGTTTATATATACTTCTCAGATCTTCACATTATATTCCAGTTTAATTTTTTGCACAAATGCACAACAGTCACCAAAAGCAAAGACTCTAAAGTACGTACCAACTAGCATTATTGTTATTTACAAAAGTATATAGCTCGGATTGGGATTTGGGGGAGCATTTGAGCTCGGATTTTGGGAATTTTGACATGTATAGACTCGTGGCGAGATAAGGAACTTATTGTTGTAAAAATTTTTGAGTTTCGAGAAGTGGGCCCGGGGCTCGGGTTTTGCAAATTTCGGGAATTCTTGTTATTTTTTTGATTATTTTGATTGGGTTTTGTTCCCTTGGTATATTGTGACGTATTTGTTGTGGTTTTGGTCAGATTCAACGTGCGAGGAGGTCGATTCGAGAGGTAACGGCGTTGTGAGCTAGACTTTTGGCCGACTTGAGGTGAATAATAGATATAAATGTTGTTCTGAGAATTTGAAACCCCCGACTTTCACATCGTAACGCTATACTGAGGCGTGACACGTATTCTATGACGATTGCGGGGTCGTTTGCTAATGGAGATTGTGACTTGGTCCATCCCGAGTGATACTTCTACTACATTGGTGATTGAGACACATACTATATTACTGTGAATTGGGTTTATTGCCATGTTTGGGGCCTTGTGCCGACCTGTAAAATCCTTAGGGGATCTTTATTAATTTACCTCAATTATTTGCATGAATTATACTCTCAGTCATGTTTTCAACTGTTAAAATATGATAAGAACTGTATTTTTGAACGTGAATCATAAATGAAAAGAATATGAGGGCTGAGATCCCTACAGTATGTTATGCCCGAGTGGCTGTGGATTTATTTGACTGAGATAAGTTGAGGACCCGATAGTGAGGATATTTTTCTATGTTATGGATCGGGCTGCGCGCCGCAGCAGTACTATATAGATACTGAGGCCGAGAGCCTATTTGATTCCACGAGATGGCTGATATTGCTCTTGGGCTGTAGGAGTCCCTCCGGAGTCTGTACACACCCCCAGTGAGCGTCATTGACGATAAATAAATAGATCGGGTTGCACGCCGCAACGGGTACTAGAGTGTACCATTATATGTGTTGCATCTTTTCATGCATTATTTCATTAACTATATCATTGGTTTACTGTTTTCACCGATATTGATCTAAACTGTTAGATATCGGTTACCTTGTGCATTTTCTTTAGGCAAAATACATAATCTACCCATTGAACTTTGGACGAAATCCCACTTACACACCTTAAGTACACGGATTTTATTTTACACACCAAACATTTCAAAAGTGTATCAGTTACACACTACTTTTGACCAGGTATATTACACGTAAAAGGAGCGCGTGAGGAGGAGAAAAATGTGTGTCTGCAGCTTTACGTCAACAGTTCAGATTTGATAAAGTTAATCTTATGGTCCAACTTAATTATTTTTCTATTTATTTTTTCTTTTTTTCCCCTCCAATCCCATGACCTGCGAAACCCTCCCCCCGTTCTCTTCCATTGAACCCTATTCTCTCATTCATTTCAGTCAATTACTCCAACAAGAAAAAATCCAATAACATACACTATTAGAAGTCCAAGGAAGTTCTATTAATTTCAATCCAAGGAAATTCTATTAATGTTAGTCCATGGCTTCTTTGTGACAAGGAAATTCTGAAAATTTTTCCAACCATTAATGGTGGTCGAACTTTAGCTTAAACTTTTCCAACCATTAAAGCTTAGCTGAAACTTTAGCTGACTTCTGGCGATAGTAGTTAATGGTGATCGAACTTTTACAGAAGTGAAATAAAAAATGAGTTGGATCTGGGTTCAAAAATTTTGATTCATTTTCAGCGGAAAAGATGGAGTTTTGGGTGTGTTTTCTAGTTATATTTGTTAGTTAATGGTGGCTTTGTTATTAAGTAAAAGATGGAGGAAGAGGTTATGGTGTTTGGTGGTGAGAGAGGAGGAAGATAGCCATGGTAGTTTAGATGAGGAAGATGAAGGGAATAATTATAATTTTAATTATTTTATTTTTTAAATGACATGTGTCACTGTTTGATTGGTGCGTGACCTCACACATTTCTGGAAAGCTGGTATAGAAAAAAGTGGTGTATAATTGATACACTTTTGAAAGGTTTGGTATGTAAAATTAAATCCGTGTACTTAAGGTGTGTAAGAGGGATTTCATCCAAAGTTCGATGGGTAGATTATGTATTTTGCCTTTTCTTTATTTTCTTACTTTCAGTCTATATTTATGCTTATTACTCACTGGGTCGGTGTACTCACTTTACTCCCTACACCTTGCGTGCAGATCCAGGTTCTACACAGGCTAAGTGAGACTTGATCAGCTGAGCAGGATCATTTCCGGGAGTATCGAGGTAGCTGCACGGCATTCGCAGCCTAGATTTCTCCCCTCTATCTTTATCTCTATTTCATATTCTCTATCTAGACAGACTGTAGTAGTTGAAAATTCTGTAATAGAGGCTTGGATTCGTGACACATGTTCCTTGTGGTCTATGTTGTATTATTTTGGTTAAACTTCCGCAGATTATAGCAGTATTCCTAGATTTATGGACTTAATGGTTTAGTAATTCCCCGTGTTATTTATCTATATCTGTTAAATAATTGGGTTAAATGTTGCAAATGGTCGGGCTTGCCTAGCATTGTGTTGGGCACCATCATGATCGGGGATGGGGTTGTGACAATATGTTCCCTAGAAGATAAATTAGAGGGCATTGAATAGCTATCAAAGTTTTGGTAAACAGAAAAGTAAATAGCAATAATGATTCTGGTCCCTTGACATGCAACTATCTGCTCCATCTGTCTTCGAGTCATAGTACGTTATATCAAGAAAACTACCAATATGGATTCTGAAGATATTGCACCTCCATTTAGTTCCTGAGAAGCATGAGAATCATCCTTAGAGCTACAACAACTTGAGCTCAGTCCATTTTGAATAGTTGCATTATTAGTTTCTTGTTAATAGATCCTTGAAGGAGCTGATTATTAACAATGTAACATCATGATCACAATGTCGTGTCTCAGATTGTTAGTAAAAAAAAATATGCCATTATAACTTCCACAAAAGATATGCAAAATATGGAATTAAGTAAAACATCAATTAGTGCAAAACCATGACTTGTTTGTACTTCTCAGATCTTCACATTATATTCCAGTTTAATTTTTTACACAAATCCACAACAGTCACCAAAAGCAAAGACTCTAAAGTACAAGCTAGCATTATTGTTGTTTACAAAAGTATCTAGCTAGCTATAGATGCATGCTACCAATTCAGTTGTCGCCATCACAAGGAACACATCTGGACCTCCTTTACTTAAACTCTTTCACATACCCTCTAATTTCCTCTGTACCTGGTCTGTTGATTGGGTTAGAAAGGACGATTCTCCACGTTCCTTCTCCGACCGACCCATATACGTGTTTACCTACCCGCCTCAGTATCGTGATAAAATACTTAGACGTCTGGGGTTGAAGTATCCCCATATTGCAGTCTAAAAAATCTCACATGGGTTTCAATTTCCGTAAATGACTTCTGCGTTGATATATTTGATGGAGGAATGAAACTATCAGTAGCATAGTCTTCCAGTATGTCGAGAACTACACTATTATTAGGTTGAAAGAGCCACCCCCTAAACACTAGGTCATCAATGGGTGGTTCCATTGTTGTGTATGTAAGTAGGGGATGTGTAGGTAAGTAGAGAAGAAGAGTATAGCAGAGAAAATCTTGGAGGGGAAGAAGAGTATAGTAGAGAAAATTCTTGGAGGGGAAGAAGAGTATAGCTAGCAGAGAAAATTCTTGGAGAAGTAGAAGAAGATTTATCATTATGTGATGTTATTGAAAATCAACGCGGATGTTGTTTATGGAAATTGCAGCCCTTAGGAAATATTTGAGGCTGCAACATGGGGAGATCCTTCAACTCCTGGTGTCAAATTCTTTATCACAACTCTGAGGCGGGTACAACTAGGTAATGAATGAGTATCTAGGACTGTGGAAGAAGGAACATGGAAACCCAGCTATTCTAACCCAATCCATAGGCAACGAAAACAGGAAATTAGAGGTTGGTTGAAACAGTTAGGAAACTTAACCCCATAAGTTAGATTCACCATAAAGGTTATAACTCTTGTAGGCGGGTTGACTATATCAGTCACAAAATCCTTGATCCGAAGAATGTAGCCTTGTTGATGCACACATTATTAGTGGTCTAAAGTCAAACTTTAAAAAGAGTACTTAAATTATTTGGTAGAATTAATATATATGCACATACATATACAAAAGTGAGAGTTTTTTTTTCTTATATTTCTTTTCTATAATGTGGTATTCTTACAAGACACATTCTTTTTAACTTCAGATAATATATTATTATTTATATTAATAAGGTTTATTTAAGTTAATAAGGTGTTAGAAATGTATTTAAATACATTACCTTGGATCCTGTTACGAAAATTTTCTTTACTAATATTAAGATTTGAGTAGTTAATTTAAAGTTAACTTTTTCTCTGCAAACTTTTAACATTGTCCGAGCAAAAAGAAAATCACAAAATTCATTATTAAGTTTTTTTGGGCCTCAAAAATTCAATTTATTGCTACAAATATGAAATAGTAATGTGAAATCGTCGTGGCGCTAAAAGTATAAACTAGAAAAGATCTATTTCGTTCTTCCAGTAGCCACCGTCTTTCTTTCTTGGATCATTATCAGCAATTCGTGAAGTCAGATTACCATCAAATCTTTTTGTCAAAATAGCACGGTATAGCCAGTTTTCGTCATGGTCAATTAAAAATAGTCAGCGTTTATCAAGTTAATAAAAAATAGTCACTATTTTGCTGCAACAAAGACCGGTCCAGCATAATATATGGGAGTGCGGTGCACCTGTGTATGAACTCCAGCATATTATGCTGAACCGGTATACTTTGCTGACTCCCGTATCATATACGGGAGAATGGAGCACCAGTGCTCCAAACTCCAGTATATTATGCTGGAGTTCCAGCATAAGTATACTTGAACTCTACTATATTACCGGAGTTCCAACATACTTATCCCGGAACTCTAGTATAATATGTGGGAGTTCAAGGATACTTATGCTGGAACTCCAGTATAATATACGGGCGTATTTTCAAGGTTTTGAACAATGTTTTCGCTCAAATTTATCTTTATATAAAAAGTGGCTAAATTTCGATTACTTTTAAAATTGAGCTATTTTTAAACGACCAGTAGTAAATCTGGCTATTTTTAAATTTTTCCCGATCCTTTTTAATGTACTAGTTTTACGGTACGCGCGATGCGCGTGAATCCTGTCTTAATGAGTATAAACTTTTAAAAAATAGTATTGAGTTATAAAATAAATGTGTAAGTTTCTAAAGATGATCATGACTATTTGTTGTGTATAACTAACTCATTAATTGAAAAAATTATCTCAAAAGTCCTCAATTATCAATAATTCAACTTAACATTTGTTCTAGGTTTGTAATTTTATAATTTTAATTTCACGACAAGAAATTTAAAAATCTTAATAATCTTGAAGGATACAACTTATAATATATAAGCAGGCAACTAATAATTTACGAACTTTAAATAAACAGAAAATCAAAGTACAATAATAAAACAAAAAAAAGATATTAAAAAAAATAAAGCAAGCTAGTAAGAGAATCAACTATTGAAAGCTAGCTAATTAACTCACTCATATTTAGCTAAATGTATCATCGATTAAAAATTAAAAGATCTCATAAATTATCTTGTTATTCTGTGCCTATTATTGATTTCTGTTCAACAATCTGCATAATTGTAATAGTACATTTAAAACTTTTAAAAGTTAAAAGTATACTATTGAATAATTTTATTGGTGTTTAGTCTTGTATATTCTTTAAAAAGTGAACTATCTATGTTATTTTTTGTAATGACCCGACCCGTCATTCCTTGTATTTCAGCCCCGTTATCCCCGTTATATACTTCCCCGTGTGTTGAGATACGTGTTGGGTGAGTTTGAAGTGGTTTGGGTTGAAATTGGATAGAGATGAGACAAATAGTCTCTTTAAAGAAAGCTTAAGTTGGAAAAAGTCAACCCGACATTGACTTATGAGTTAGAGGGCTCAGAATGGATTTCCGATGGCTCGACTAGTTTCGGGGAATGATTTGTGACTTAGGAGCGAAAGCGGAAGTGAATTCGGAGGTCCGGTGTGAAAGTTAGCCTAGTTTGGCGAAGTTGGAATTTCGGAGAAATCCAGTTGATAGGTGAGAATTTGATCTAAGGGTCGGAATGGAATTCCGAGAGTTGCATTAGTTTCGTTAGGTGAATTTGGATATGTGTGCAAATTTTCAGGTCATTCGGACCTCGTTTGGCTGGTTTCGGCATCGGGCATGATTTTGTTAAGTTCATGTTTAGCTTAGAGTTGATTTTGAGGATTTTGGTGATTTTAGGTGTTTATGTTAGTATTTTTATGGCCCGAGCAAGTTTGAATGAGGTAATAAGTCATGATAGTGATTTTGGTTGAGGTCCCGGGGGCCTCGGGGTGATTTCGGAGGGTTGTCAGAGGAGCTTTTGGACTTGAAGTGCTGCAGAAAATGCAGCAGCAGTGCAGACCAGCTTTTGGTCTTCGCGATCGCGTAAGCTCGGTTGCGGTCGCGTAGCAGCGGTCAGTCGTTCTCTGCGATCGCGTGAGGCGGGTCGCGATCGCGTATGGTTAGGAGGAAGTTCGATGCGATCGCGTGGGGATTTGTGCGATCACGTAGGATTGTTTGGAGGCCTCAGATATTTGCTCTCTGCGATCGCAGGCCAATGGCTGCGATCGCGTATAAAGGATTAACTGGGCAGTTCAGTTTTATTAATTTGTTTTGTCCGCGAGCGTCATCACTTTTTTCTCCTTTTTTACAATACCTTGAGAGCTAAGTGACGGATTTTGAAGGGGATTTCGACGGGAAGTAATTGGAGGTAAGTCTCGTGGTCTTATTACGTCATTTTATCGAAGAATCGTCCTTTAATTCTCTGAAATTGGGTGTAAATATTGAAGAACTAGGGCTTGAAATTTCAAATGAAAATTGGGGATTTGGAGGAGCAACTGGACTCCGATTTTGATAAATTTTTTATGTATAGACTCATGGCAAGATGAAGGTCATTTTGATGTAAAAATTTCTGAATTTCGAGACGTGGGCCCGGGGCTCGGGTTTTGCTAATTTCGCGAATTTCGATGTTTTTCGAGTTCTTTCGATTGAGTTATGTTCCATTAGCCTTATGTAATATATTCGTTGTGGTTTTGGCCAGATTCGATGCTCATAAAGGAGAATTTGAAGGAAAAAGGCATTTCGAGCTAGTTTCCGGCTGGCTAGATGTGAGTAATGCTAGTAAATGTTGTTCTGAGGGTTTGAAACCCCGGACTTTCACATCGTAACGCTATATTGAAGCGTGACACGCACTCCATGATAAGTGCGGGGTCGGATACTTTTTGGGATTGTGACTTGGTCCATCCCGAGTGAGATTTATACTATATTGGCGTATGATACGCACACTATGAAGATTATTATTGGGCTTTATGCCGTGTTTAGGGCCTAGTGCCGACCTGTGATA